ATAGATAGATAGATAGATAGATAGATAGATAGATAGATAGATAGATATTAAAAATTAACTCCTTACATTAAGATCAAGGTTTGTGAGCAGCATGTCCTCGTGGAGGGAAGATGGTGCCGTCTCTCTGAAGTCAATAACTCTCGTCTCATTCTTACGGATGTCATGCACCAACATAACGCCACCACTAAACATCAACAAAGCACATTCCAGAATGTTGTAGAACCTCAGTGGTTAAGCTGTTTAAGCAGAGATGAACGTGATTGTATAGCTCACCCTCCTATGCCAGAGGTGTGAGGGTGGACAATCCCCAAACAGAGGGCGGCAGCGATGGCAGCATCAACACTGGATCCTTGCTTCCCCAGAACGTCAAACCCAACAGATGTACACTGAGCCACATCTGTCACCACTGCTCCTTGGTTAAATACCTGACACATGAAAATAAGCATCTTCATTGGAAGTACTCATGTGGAAGGAATGAGACAACTGGAATTACTTGTAATCTCATAATTACTGTTCTAAGAGAGACAGAACTCTTAACGTGGCTCACTTATTCAACAGGAAATATTGATATGCACAAACCTGGGGATCTCCAAAGTAGATCTGCATTATGAGAGCTACAGTGACACCTGTAGCAAAAGTGAGACCGGCTGTGATTATGACAGTCAATCCATCTCGCTGGCAGGCGCAGTCCGCATTGAAGGGGTCTGTGGTGGTCTCCTGTAGCGACGCAACATCTTGGCAAGCCAAGTCTGAAGCGGAGGATGGGAGACGCTGGAGACGAGCCGACCTCAGAAACAGATCTGGATCTGAGACGAATAAAGAACAAAACAAGACTTAGTCGAATTAAAATGTTTCAAATAATGAAAATAAAAATTATTTTTGAAGCTTTTGAGGGGAAAGTACTTTGCATGATGACATCTGACGTGACCTGACGCACCTGTATCTTGTTCACTCAGGACATTGTCGTCATCCTTTCGAGATCTCTGTGTGGTTTCTCCAGACATCGTGTCATCCTCTGGCAGCCTGGGGAAGCTGGTGATGCTCATGTAGTCCACCGGAGAGTAGGCGCTTCCCAGTGTCGTCTCCGGATTGGCATCTTTATCCACCACACTTCCACTTGGGTACCCAGCCACACTTTCCTGGGCAGTGTTGTGCATGACTACTCTTGATTTTGCAGTCACACAATTATCTAAAACCCTGTGATGTGAAGAGAGTTAACTAAACCTGGACATCAATCTTGCTCCTATCAGTGGCGATTTTAGCATCTTTTTGGGGGTGCTCAAGCACCCTTAAATTTTAACTCCGCACCCCTGAAATTTTTAGAAACCGTCATTAGGATTTTGTAAAGAAGCTCAGTTCTGAAACCTTAGATTCACCAAAATATTGAATAAATTTGGAATAAATATGAAATATATGTTGACACTTTAACGGGCCAGTAAATTCTCTCTATATATATATTTTTTTTTTTTTCACGAGTCGGATTTTTGACCCCACCTGTCAATCATCCAGTAGGCTCATCAGCAACTGACCAGTTGGCGACCTCAATTTGTCCCAAAGTGAAACTCCCCTTACCTGCAGGAGCTTGGGGAGGGGGGCGTTGCGTGAGAGAAGCGGAGCGCCACGTCTGCAGCAGCTTGCACGTTTGTATTTTGTGCCACAATACAGTTGTCGGCAGTTGTAGACCGGGGGTGGAGGGGGGCGTGTTAGGGTGTGTGAGAGAAGGGGAGCGTGCTCTAGTCACACAAGGAGAGTGGCTGGTCAGGCTACTTCTTGTGCCATGCTCTCTAAAATAGTTACTGAATCAAATGTTTATATGTTCTGTCTGGAACAGGTCTCTCTTGTGAAAGAGTCATCGTGGCTCAATGAGGCTATAAATAAAGGTTGAATGAATTAATTAAATTTATTCAAAATTTTCTGGGGGAGGACCCCCAGAAACCCCACCACCACCAGTGTGTCCCCCCCCACATTACAAATGCTTCTGAAGTCCACTGAGTTGTTCAAGCCAAGAGCCATCAGTGGGGGCTAAGCACCCCTGAAGGTCACATTCTAGAATCGCCCCTGCTCCTTATTATGCGCGCGGCGTTAGGCTGTCAAACAGATGATAAATATCCTGACTTACCCTTTAGGGATGTTGCTGGATCATGAAAAACAATTCTCCTGCTGGGATCTGGAGCTTCATATTTGATGTTCAGACATATTAAAGATCCCTGCAGCTGCCTCCTCACAGAAAATACTTGTGATGATGATGGCGCATCTTCCTCCACCTGCAGAAGATAACACGCTTAAAGCTAACAGCTTCGTCCGCTGGCAGGCTAACAAAACATTAGCTTAAATACTGATTTGCGACTCGTTTGTCCTGGTCCGTCTGACGAGCCACCGTTTTGTTATCATTGTAAACAACATTCATTGCTTGTAAAACGCAAACAGAGTCAGCCTCAGAGGAGGGAAAATCCCGGCTAATACATTTCGTGTCCTGTTTATTCAACCACCACGACTACAAGCTAACCGCATACCTGTAATTAACTGGAGGCTAAATGTGTGCTAATGTCACTTACCGATGTCGCGACGTGCTCGTAGCCGAATAAAACCTCGTTTTAATGTAAAGGGAGAAGACGGAGCTCGATGAAGCTGGCTTCTGATTAGATGTCAGGACAAGGCGAGTCCTTCACGGAGACGCGCCTACAATCACAACACGAGCTTTAAAAAGCGTTTCAAAATCCAGTTCGTGACCTTTCTGCTCCTAATCTGCGCATATTCCCTAAAGGCTCACTTTGCCACCTCATTTTGAATGTCAAACTTACTTCACTGGAACCTTAAGGAGTCATTTAAATCCCCTCTGCTGTTGACAAACAAACAAACAAACAATAAACAAGTCCCCTGTCTGTAAGGTTACAATATTCAGTGGGCAAACTCCCTTCGCGTCCTCGTCTTCCTCCACCTCTAAGAATGACTCAAACTGGATGGAGTGGATAAACAGGTCGTGTCAGGTGCACAGAAACATTGTCTCCTCCCTCCTCTCCTCCCTCACTGTGTCCTCCTCCCTCCTCATTGTCTTCTCCCTCTGCTGTTAGCTGGGGGAAGGTTTCAGGGGTCAAAAGTAACTAAAGCTATAAATAGTTGTCTGGTTTGCTTTTCTATTTACAAGAAGGGATCAGTAAAATGAGACCTTGAACATTCTGCACATGCTTTTTTGTTTTCCCTGTGTATTTTATTATAAGAGCATCTATTTACCTTGCGGGTTTTCATGTGTAATCTAATCTGAGTTGTGCTCAAGAGTACAACACCCAGATTCAGACCACAAACACTTTATTACCACACCCGCATGTTTGCTTCATCACTTCCTATTTTAGTAATTACATTCTTGTGCCTACAAGTACTGTGTGAGAGGGGAAACTCTTGTAATTGTAGGCGATATTCATTAGATCTCATGTCTTTTCTGAAGGTCTTTAAAACTTTGTTGGATTTTGGCTGCATTTCCTCTCTCTTTCTGTTTTATCACCTAATCCTGAAGCATATTGTGCAAATTGTGCTTACAATCTGAGGAAAGTGGACAAGTACAGGATAATTTTTTTTTAAGTGTTTGGTTATCTATAGCAAATGAACAGTACCTGAAAGTCCTATATTTAAGAAAAAGGAAAATATCCAGCTAAGACCTAAGAAATGCATCATCATCCTTCAGCTGATCATCTGTATGCCAAGTTTTTGGGTAGTACCTTTTTGAGAATCACCCTTTAGATGCAAAAAAAAAAAAAAAAACTGTGTCCAACAGGGTTATGTTTGATGATTTTCAAATGCACAAAAAAATGGAAACATATTGTGACTTTGTGACATGAAATTAATCACTATATATTCTATGTTGGTCATGTGTGACAAATACAGTTCCACATTTTAGTGCATTAATTCAACAAACACTCTCACCAATAAGACATTTTTGCCAACTAATGCCACTTGGGTCCAACTAGTTGAAGTATAAGTCATACTAGTCAGCCATTATGTCATGCTAGTAGCCCATAGTCCTAACTAATTAATTTTAGGCACAGTAGTGGACCACTGAACCAAGCTACTCAACAACTGTGCCAAACAGTTTGATTCATAAGCACTGAAACATTAGCTTTTTAACTACTTAATACAAATTATGCCCACTAGTTGACTAGTGACTGTCAAATGTGTGCGTTAGTAAACTAGAATAGCCTAAAATGTTAACTGGTTGACTTGTGAACATTAAAATAGTCACTAGTTAATGCATTCTTGGTCTAATTTATGAATTGGTGCAGCTATAAAATATCAACTATTTAACTAATGTGCCTACAATGTTGACTAGTGAGGATTAAAGTATTCACTAGTCAACTGGTAGGACAAATTTGGTCTTGCAAGTTAAGTAGTTACACCCAGTATTCCCAGTGGTTCACTACTTGAAGCTTTTTTTTTTTGACTTACAAGTTACACAGGTTCATCTCTTGAGTCCTTTTCATGCCTGAATGATTCATATGTCAAAGTTAGCAGGCCAAACAAACAACAAAAACATGTTAAAAAAAAGTTTGAAAGACCTTCAGAAACCCTGAAGAAATATTGAAACAAGAAAGTCTTGGAAGTAAAATAAAGAGCACAATTTTGCACAAACATTGAAGGAATGTGACATAAAGGCACAAAATCGGATAAATCATAATTGCAAGTACCGGTACACGCATTTTACAGAAATCTTTAGCATTTAACGCACTACTTTTTAAAGTACGTTCCATCAATATTTTCAATATTTTTGCAAACTACTTGATTATGATGCCAAAATACACCAAAAACTACAAACAGCTAAGCTACAGTGGTGCTTAAAGTTTGTGAACCCTTTAGAAATTTCTATATTTCTGCATAAATATGACTGAAACCATCATCAGATTTCACACAAGTCCTAAAAGTTGATCAAGAGAACCCAGTTAAACAAATGAGACACAAATATTATAACTGGTCATTTATTTATTGAAAATTATCCATTATTGCATATTTGTGAATGGCTAAAGTATGTGAACCTTTGCTTTCAGTAACTGGTGTGACACCCCTCCCCCCTTGATATAAAATATCAACTATTTAACTAATGTGCCTACAGTGTTGACTAGTGAGGCTTAAAGTATTCACTGGTCAACTGGTAGTCAACCTGTGCAGCAATAACTGCAGCTAAATGTTTCTGTTGATCACCGGCTTGGAGGAATTTTAGTCCATTCCTCGAGAACAGCTTCAACTCTGGGATGTTGGTGGTTTCCTCACATTAACTGCTGCTTCAGGTCCTTCCACAACATCTGGATTGGATTAAGATCAGGACTTTGACTTGTCCATTCCAAAACATGAACTTTATTCTTTTTTAACCATTCTTTGTGTGCTGAGGGTCATTGTCTTATTGCATGACCAAACCTTTCTTGAGCTCCAGTTCATGGACAAATGTTCTGACATTTTCCTTTATAATTCTCTGATATGATTCAGAATTCATTGTTCCATCAATGATGGCAAGCCGTCCAGGCTCAGATGCAGCAAAACAGGCCCAAACCATGATACCACCACCATGTTTCACAGATGGGATAAGGTTATCATGCAGGAATGCAGATTTTTCCTTTCTCCAAACATTATACTTTTCATTTAAACCAAAAAGTTCTGTTTTGGTCTCATCCGTCCACAAAACATTCTTCCAACAGTCTTCTGGCTTGTCCACGTGACCTTTAGCAAACTGCAGACGAGCAGCAATGCTCTTTATGGAGAGCAGTGGCTTCCTCCTTCAACCCTGCCATGCACACCATTGTTGTTCAGAGTTCTCCTGATGCTGGACTCATGAACATTAACATCAGTCAACGTGAGCGAGGCCTTCAGCTGCTAAGAAGTTACCCTGGGGTCATTTGTGACCTCGATATTCCACTCCTTGTTCTTGGAATGATCTTGGTCGACCACTCCTGGGGAGGATAACAATGGTCTTAAATTTCCTCCATTTGTACACAATCTGTCTGACTGTGGATTGGTGGAGTCCAAACTCTTTAGATATGTTTTTTAACCTTTTTCTGCCTGATGAGCATCAACAACTCTTTTTCTGAGGTCCTCAGAAATTTCCTTTGTTCCTGCCATGATACATGTCCACAAACATGTTGTGAAAAGCAGACTTGATAGATCCCTGTTCTTTAAATCAAACAAGGTTCCCCACTCACACCTGCTCATCATCCCATTGATTGAAAAAAACCTTACTCTAATTTTACCTTCAATTTAACTGCTAATCCTTGAGGTTCACACACTTTTGCTACTCACAAATATGTAATATTGGATCATTTCCCTCAATAAATAAATGACCAAGTATAATATTTTTGTCTCATTTGTTTAACTGGGTTCTCTTTATCAACTTTTAGGACTTGTGTGAAAATCTGATGATGTTTTAGGTCATATTTGTGCAGAAATATAGAAATTTCTAAAAGGTCCACAAACTTCACTTTGCTTTCCAAACTTCATCTTTTTATCACTCTGACAGCTGATTTAGCTGCATGTTTTGTAAGACTTCTCAAGTCTGCTTATGAATCAGGGGAACATTATAAAGTTATATTACAAATATTAACATACAGCAACACCAATAAGGTTCTATTTCTTTCTTTCTTTCTTTCTTTCTTTCTTTCTTGCTCTCGTGAAGGTGGACACTTTTCCCTCCTGCTCCTTCCCCTGCTCTGCTCTTTGTCCTGTGAACTTTTTTAGAGCCTCTTTTTGCATATTTTCCAAATTGGAAATTATGGATCTGGTCAGCTGGTCTCTCAACGCAATTGATCAAATTTTCTCAACAATAACACAGGGCAAAGGAGAGCCCTCCTACCTTGACGGGACACTTGCAGCCGGTTTCCTGGGGGAAGTGGAAGACTGTGTGTCTGTCCATATTATCAGTCGAGAACAATGAAGATGTACATAATTGGATTTATGATAACAGGATTTCTGCTTTTTGGAGTTGGTAGTTACCTGGCATATCGACAAATTTGAAAAACATTGGCAGCTGTTCTGACCGTTGTAAGGCTGCCCGGCATGTGTGAAGGAATGTGCCGTGCTGTCAGCACTCAAACTCAAATGCTGTGTGATCTGAGCCATAAGCTGGATGTGATTCATGCTGAGAATCACAGGCTACTTGCAGCTCCTGAATCTCGCTGACGGGAAGGAATAGATCTCGGAGAAGTTGTAAGTTCGACTGACCATTTGGCTGTTTGGAGTCGCCATTGAGATGTACTAGCGAGACTGTAAAAGACAGATGGAAATTAACATAGCTCGACCTGACCCAAAACAAATGTTGCTATCTGAATCTGGCTCCCCCTGTGTCAGCCTTGGAAGGTTGACTATCTCAAATTCTCCTGGATGTTATGTGAACAAGATGCTCTGCTCCCCCCTCCCCTACCAGCTCCCTTCTCCAAGGACACGGGCCTGTGTCAGAGCTCTACAGAGCCGGCTGATAAACACTGCACCATCACTTATCAGGACTATAGCTAGGGTGGGGTGGGGGTGGGGGGTGCGATCTGGACAGTGCTCACGGACTACTTCCCCTTAAATTCACTGCGTTCTCTGGCCTCCCTCATCACCCGCAGTGCAGCAACCTAGGTAGATGTGAAGGCACCAGTGGCTGTGCTGCTCACTTAGGTGGTCTGTGCTGGGACTCCCACCCTCACCCACTCCACATGCATATTATGTCATCATGTTGCTTTTTCTTGTGCTAAGTTTTTTTTGGGTTTTTTTGCAATCTCACGCTGTGTCACAGCGTGAGATTGCAGTGTGAGATATGATTATGAGATATGAGATTACACAGTGTGAGATATGATTTTTTTTATACCTCCTCTTTCCTCATGTTTTCCCTTTTCCTATCTAAACAAAAAGGGCAGCACTTCCCATGAGGCTGCAGCCTCAGACATCCCCATCTACCCATGTTTTCTTTGGACGGCTGTACTGAAATGTAATTTCATTGTGCTTCTGTGCAATTACAATAAAGTTTGATTCTGATACAACGGCACAAGCTTTAGAGTTTTTATTTACATGCTGCTGAGCATTTGTAAGACCGGTAAATACTTTTTATGTCCATTTTTGCAAGCAGTGTTGCTCAGTTACATTCAGTAATGCTCTTTGCAGTGAGAAGAATGACACAAAATTCAGGTCTTAACCTGAGAATTTATTTGCTGTTGTTACTGTTCTTTTTTATTTTTATTTTGTCGGTATTTTCTATGTGCACCTGTATTTTTGGAATTGATGTTGGAAAACCCAATGGATTATCTTTGCATAGGTATTTTGTCTGAACCATTTCAAAGATGGAAACTCAGCACATCACAAATAAACCATGCAGAAACAGTGAAAGGCACAATCACCATAGATATCAGATGCACCAAAATGCCTTGTTTATATAATTCTTTGTTATGAATGGATGTACTAACGGAGGTGTAATCTAGGTGACCCCGCCCCACACTCCCCCACAACAAGTCATTTAAAGCTGCCAAAACATCAGAGCACAACATGAAACATAAGAAACTTCCAAGGCAATCATTGCCTTTTGTTGCATTGTTAGACAGCTCTTCTAAAACCTACATGAGAAAATACAAGCATTTATATTGAAGATTTATAACTACATTGCCTTTTTTTTTCATATATAGAAACTACTGTGTCTCCTGCCTCTGTTTGTCCCTCAGTCACATCACACAGTTGCAACACATTAGGTAACACATTCTCACAGCTTTGGACGATTTTAACTCAGAAAATGTATCCTTTATGGCAATAAAACACAACATTCTGGAAACGTTTCATTTTTGCTGGATGGTGAGGAAATATATTAATGATGACAGCTGTTAAAAAAACAGGACAGACGAGGCAGCAGATTTACCTGTGGTGATTTTTTTTTTATACATACGCACACATCCACCTGTGATTTTTCCCTATTACCCTGTTTTACTCATTGTACATGCTGTTTTTTCCCATCACACAAACATTTGTCTGAGGCACAGTCACTTTAACCGCAAGCAACAAAAGAGTGTAAATGCCCGAACAGATTTCACTACGTGTGTTCATGTACTGGATTCATCACCTTAGATACCTTGCACAAACAAATTTGACAAGACACATTGTATTAATCTTTAAATCAAACAAACAAACAAAAAACAGGATAATATTCATAACTTTATCATAAATTAGCACAGTTTGAGCGCACACACCTTTTTTCATTCAAAGGACCATAAAGAAAAAATATAACGGGAATATAAGATAATTTAATATCATACGTTCTGTGATTAAAACATCCACCAAACAATCAGAAATGAGTCCAGACAGTCAAACGCATCAGCAGTGATGAATTTAAACCATGTTTCACTGCAAGATCACTGGCATCCACGCAGCAAATGCTGTGCTGAGTGGACCCTCAGGAGGGCAGTGTTTGTCGATGGCACATAAACTCTTCTGTCTGAAACTGTTTTATGGTGGCCATGAGACAAGTGTGGCAAGTATTGGTGTATTTATTCAATATCCTTGATATTAAGCATTAATTTTACTCACTAGTTCAACAAACACTCGTACTAATAGCACATTTTGCACACTAGTGCCACTTGTGGCCAACTAGTTGGAGCAGAAGATATACTATTCAGACATTTTGTTGCAATAATCGTCCCAACTAACTGTTTTTTGATGCAGTAGTGAACCACTGGACTAAACTACTCAAGAAATGTGTCGTACAAGTTAATTAGTAAGCATCAAAACCTGTTGCATTGTAACTAGTCAACACAAATTATCACCACTACTCATCTTCTGACTGAAATTTGTGCACTATTCGACTAGTGCGGCTTAAAACTTTAACAATTAGTTGACTACTAAACATTTTAATGGTCAAGTTATGCATTCTTGTCCTTACTAGTTACCTAGTTGAGCTATAGTGCCAACTAGTTAACTAGTGGAGCTATAAAATGTCAACTAGTTAACTAGTGCACCTAAAATGCTTACTAGTTGATCAGTAAGCTGCCAAACAACCACCCTCCAACACATGTAGCTAAATTTGGCCTCATTAGTTAACTACTAATCCCCAAAATGCTTACTAGTTCATTAGTCAAAGTTATGATCAGACTTATTACTGAACTAGTTGAGCTATAAAAGGTTAACTATTTTGTTCACATAATGTTGACAAGTGAGGCTTAATATTAGTGACCAGTCAAATGGTGTGATTAAATTGGACCTTACTAGTTACCTAGTAAAATTCAAAATGCTTATACATGTATATTAACTAGCTAAGGCTTTATTGGCTTAAGAATGTGAGCATTTTAGTTTTTAGTAGTAAATTAATTCATTTTAAGGCCACGGTAGTTGACTAGTATAGGCAAAAATTTTGTTGACTTGGTAACAAATGTTTTAGATGACACCATAGTGCCTTTAAAAGCCAACTAGTTGGGACTTTTGTGCTACTTGTATGTCAAAATGGCTGACTAGCATGACTTCTGCTCCAACTAGTTGAGCAAAAGTGCCACTAGATGGGAAAAATGTGTTACTAGTGAAAGTATTTGTAGTGCTAGTGTGACCAAACTAGTACAGTCACAAACGGAGTGAAAATGACGCTTGCTATATTGAATAAATACACAAATGGCTTGCCACAAACACATGGGAAAAGACACGACTTTTGACCTCCTGGCCCTCGTAAATTGAAAATGAGCACATACATGGAGAAGATTCTCATTCGTCCCATTGGACATAATGTTGTAGACTTGAGTCCTGAGAGACTTTGACATCTAACGGAGCATTACAAAGTGTTTTTAGATATTTACAAGAAAAATAAATGACTAACATTTTTTGTTTGGTTAAATTTCTTTTTCTGTTTTTTTCCCCACTTTTAACTCATCTTTACACCTTCTCACACACAGTCAGGATCAAAGCCAAAAATCACAAAAGAAAAACAGAAAAAAAACAACAACAAGCACACGTCACACTGCTAAAACCTCGACTCACAAAATATCTGACAGTGCAAACTTACATCCATGTTCTTGAATCATTTACAAACATTTGTATACATCTGAGCACCATAGTTGACTATTGTTGTTGAATACATATAAGTAAACTAGATCTTTAAAGATGGCGTGGTTTGAGCTGGATGTGCTAAAAGTAAAAGGGCAGGACATATATGGAGTGAATGTGAGCAAAATATCCAGATGACACGTATTGAAAGTAATGAATTGGAGTGAGATGTTTGCTCTGAGGCATTAGGAATTCACTTCCCTTTTTTCTGACAATGTATATTTGTATAAACAGACAAAGTTTTTTGGGTGTTCACACGGCTAATGCAAAAGCACAGCACAATTTGTGGTTAAACGAAACTAATCACGCTGGACAGATGACAGACGCTAAAATGAATCCTCACTGTTAATGTTGACATCTAAAGCCAAATGTGTTCATCTGACCAGGAGCAGTCTGGTGTTTCCCCCTCTTTATGTAGCTAACAATGGAAATGGGACTGCATAAGAATTTCAAGATAACATAAAATGACGTAAAAAATTAAGTTGCCACTGCTATCGTTTTGCACCTACAATAACCTGCCACACCTTGTAACTCAAAAGCAAGCCCATCACAGATTTTTTTAAACGTTCGTGGATGATTTTACAGATGCCCAATCCGTTAAGAGCTGCTCATTGAAATTACATTACACTTTCATAAAATCATGTCTAATTAATTACTTGATGTCATTTAAGCATCACATCGTTCTGCTTAATGTGTCAGTCTGTTTTGCACGTCCTCTCGCCATCCTCCACATGCTGTTATCCTTCACAAAGACAGAGAAATCTCACAAGAAATGACTTCCTCGCATGAATGAGTGAACTCGCGTTAAAGATTTGACTGACGTTTTGCTCCTCCTGATGCAACCTGGTGCTCAGACCTGCAGCCTAAGGATGAAAAGATGACAGAGCGTCTGCAGCCCCAACTGAAACCAATGTTAATATGAAGCTTTAAAGATAATACGAAGAGTTTTTGTTGTCGGCTGTGAAATGATGGAGCCTTGTCTCTACCTCCTGCTCTTTCAGTCAGAGTAAAAACACATGTGGCGATTTCAGCTGGAGTTTATTATGTTTCGGTTCAGTGTTGTGGTGCGTTCATGGTCAAATAAATCATAAAATCACATACGATATCCTAGTGTAAGAAAATTAATATAGCTCATCTTTTGTTGATTTTCATGCATTATTATTACTACATATACTATATTATGTTGCTCTTTATCTTTTTTCTTTTTTTGTTGTTGTTTATTTATTTCTGTTTACTGCAATGAACAAAGAAGAGGCAATGGTTAAGGTTTATGCTAATCTAGAAGCGACTGGTTCATACCAGCAGACTGGGTTGAAAAATAGCAGGGTGACACAAAAAGACCTGCAGGTCTGCTGTGGGTTGACAAATACCGGTATGATCATGTTTGACTTAAGCCACGGTACTAATGCCCCCAGAGTAAACAAAGCCCCCCAGGTTAATGGGAGTTTAGTGACAGATGTTACGCTTGCAGGGCTGGTGAAGGAAGGTGTTTCTGGTGTGGGCTGCACGGCGAGGGACCTGCTCCCTCGTGCGGTTTTGGCGTTGGATGTGGTTGCGGCTCAGATGGCGCCGCTCCATGCGAGCTTTGTAACGCTGGACCCTAGCCACCTGGGTGACCTTGGCCAGTGCGCCAGCCTGTGCCGCTGCTCCACGGGTCACCCTGGTGGGCATAGCTGGGGGAGCAACTGGTTCAGACCCTCTGCAGCAACAGGAAAACAAAGAAACAATTGAAATACATACCAGTAAGCGGTGAGGTTTTTATAATTCATGCTGAAGCAGGGGGATGTTGGGTTTAGTTGTCACGAATGTTTCTCACCTCACGCTGCTCGCCAGGCTGACAAGGCTTTCCTCCCCCACCACAGACAGGTTGCTGTTGGAGACCATGGACAGGTTGTTCGGGGAGACGTACACAGACATGCTGGGGTGCTCTATAAGGAGGTCCTCCATCGGACTGGCCTCCGCTGTGGCTCCCTCTGCAGTGAAACAGGGGGGAGGGGTGACAAACCAACTCTCATCCATGCAGCCTCTCTCTGAGCCTGCCCTACTGGTACCCCCACTGCTCACACTCTCACTCCCTGACCCCGGGGACATTGATGGGGTGGAGCAGGGCATGGACAGTCTAGCACGCCTTGGTAGGCTCACGGGTGTAGCACCTAAATGTGGTGGGTTAAAGCTGAGGTAAGACAAGGGGTCTGACGATGCTACCGCACCCCTAGCCCGACCTTTATGTGTCCTACGATGCTTGTGAGGTGGGCGGGGAATGGGGGCGAGGCTTTCAGTTCTTGTTAGTGAGTTGTGGTGATCTGATGGGTCGGGGAACGTTTGTGCAATCGGTAGAGTTCCTGTCTCACCCTCCACCTGCGTCATGCAGTTAGATTCTTCTGAGCACGTGGCACGGATGAGATCGGGAAGGCCAGCAGAGACATAAGTTTGAGACAGGGAGGGGGATGTTGCAAATAAATTTAGCAAACGTTGCAGATTTTTCAAAAACCCATGCAGGACGAAGAGGGTCATTTTAAAGGGACCACATACGCACGCGCACACACACCAGTGCGGGGAATATGGAGGATTTTTTTTTTTATTGGGAGAAGGGGGAAAAAGAGGGGTAAGAAAACACAAAACATAAAGGAGTCACATTGTTAGTTGTGTTGACCCTCTATGGTTGTGATTATGTCAGAGATTTACTGCTTATCTTGATGCTTTTGAGAGGTACTTTCATGTTCTTTTGTTAGGTTGGCTCCAGAACCAGTACCAAAACAACATTTTCTACACAGCAATGTCATGATCATATTTTGAAGTGAAAGAGGATGCACGTTCTCAGAGCTCATGTGTTTCCATCCATCATATGAAATAATAACTCCAAATATTAGCACCAGTGCAGTTGTGCCACACCCAGACTGATTCTTCACCCTGTTCCTTTATTCCCATCACTACAGCTAGCCTCACTGAACTAAACACAACAAAAACTACACAATTCAACAAAAATCCCAAATTACAAAAAAAATAATAAAAAAATTAAGAGGATAAAATGTTATTAAAAATGGAAAGTGAAGATTTGCAAATCTCACAAAATCCAAATCGGGCAGGTTTTTAATGCAGAGCTGCCTGAGAGCCAAATAATCCGATGTTGACTTCAGCCTTGTCCTTTGAGCGCAGAGATTTATTTAGATTTTTGTTTTTAATCTTTTGATAATTTTAGGAATTGCGGCTGAAGCTGACGGGATATTTAAAGTTTTTCCAACTTCCCCAACTTTTATTAAAGAACATTATTCTGAAATTGTGACTCTGTGTTCTATTTCATATAGGCTTCGCCCTTTAAGGCTGTCGCTGATGGGTTTATCCCGTTATGCAGAGCATAAGCACTGAAAAAATTTTGTCCACGCCCACCTGCTGTGTGGGCCCCACCCGGTCCGTATAAATTACGTTAAGAGCGGGAAATCGGCTCCCATTTTTTCTTCAGCGAGCTAATATAGCACTGTCAGAAGAACAAAGAGGATAAATTGTGTAAATGACCAACCTTTGTGAAGGATGCTTGGCCCGGCAGTCGACCTCCGGTCGTCCGGTGAGTTCTCCTCCCCGAGGAGAAGATGACGAGCAGTCTTATTCCAAGGTAAGCGTCGGGGAACATTTCCCAGTGACAGGTCAATACACGCTGGACAACGCCATCTTGTGTTTTTTCCTCTTATCGCCGACCCTCGGGGCGAACTGGATGGTTCCTCCGGGGCAAGGCGTGCTCAGCTGCAGCCCCCGCTGCTCATTCCCTCCTGGGGAGCGTAGTGTAGGTGGAGGGGGGCTGAGTGAATGCTCACCCCATCCCACCTCGTTTCGCATCGGCGATCACACCGCTCCCGGCCGACAGCGCCCTCTCGGTTGCCCGGCGGAACCCAGGAGGAGGCTGACATGAAGGGATCCCTTTTTTCTACGTCCCTCGCCTTTTCCCGCCAGTTCGGATGATCGGCGGGAAGGTTGTTTTTCACCGGGCTCCACTGTGGCTCACCGTCTTGATCCATACGGCCTCGCGTTCCAACAGGACGTTCGACGGGCGAGGCCGCAGACGGTTCTTTCCTGGTAGATTGGAGGAGTCGGTCCCCAGTCCGCTCCCATCACCAGAGTTGAGGGATTCACCGAGCGGGGCTATTCCTCGGTAACCCCCCCTGGAGCCAAGCCTCACGGAAGCTTCCGGTGCGAAGCTGCCCAGGTCGGAGCAGCGTCCCGTCCCTCCGGAGGAACACGAACCAGACGGCGACCACGCTCTCCAATCGAGCCCACCAATGTATTTTCAGGCAGCCGCAGTTAGCAAACAACGTGCGCTGCTAGCATATAGCATGTCCAAGGGACTGAAGGCCGCAGACCTGCCTTGGAGACAAAGAACTCCCTTTGTAAGGCAGCTGACGCCAGCTCAACATATGTGCCTCTCCCACGGGTTGCCTGTCGAGGACTGCAGCGCGGATGACGATGATCCAACGACCCACCTGGCTTCGTTACTCCCCTCGCTGCCGGAGAAACTGCACAAGACCTGATGAAGCCATCGCGGATGCGTTGTTCAGAGCAGCTTCAAACCATGCTGGCGAATTGAAACAGTCGGAGGAGGTGCCAGAGGCTGTGCGCCACCTCATCAATCCGCGCGGCCCACCCCGTCCCGCTGGAGGGACCGTCGCGAGCAAGCTTCGACTTTTCCACGGCCGCGGCTCTCGCTGAGTTCCACCACCAGCCCCGCCCGTCAGAATCCAGCCCTCTTCACTCCGGCAACCTGCAGCTCAGCGTTTTCCCCAGAGTTCGCCTGCAAGACAGCGCTCTGGGCAAACAATCGCAGAGCTCATGAGAGAGAAGTTTCTCAAAATGACGGTCTCCGGAGGGTGTGTGTAAAAGTGACACGAAAGTTGAAATAAATCATCATTAATGATCAAAGTGTCTGTTTTTTAGCCAGTCTGTAAGCCCGGATGAGCTCACAGCGGCCGCACACATTAAGAGCCGGTGTCCTTAATGAGGTTTTTTAAACTCACCGCCGCTCCAAGACATTACTAGTCGCTTACAGGGCACGATGGTAAGTGAAAATAACTCGTTATAATCCCGGGCTGCACGATTTTCACTCAAGCGATGTCAACTCGCACTCGTGGGATGAAACAGCCCCACACACGAGCCGGTGTCCTTAAATAAGGTCTTTAAACTCACCGTCGCTCTAAGACACGACGAGTCGATCGCAGAACAGCCTCCACACATGAGCCGGTGTCCTTAATTAAAGGTTTTTAAACTCACCGTCGCTCTAGACATGACGAGTCGATCACGGCACAACGGTAAGCGAAAATAACTCGTTACCAACTAGAACTGCACGATCCTCACTCAAGCGGTGTCAACTCGCACTCGTGGGATGGAACAGCCTCCACATGAGCCGGTGTCCTTAAATAAGGTTTTTAACTCACCGCCGCTCTAGACATGACGAGTCGATCACTAAAATGAACAGCCTCCATCCAAACGGCGCTGCGTTGATGCTGGCGCACACACACAGCTGCCGGCGCTGACCATCTCACATCGGTATAAATGTGGTCCGCAGGCTGGTTCGGGTGGAGGTCCTTCTCTCTCACAAGAAACGACACCCGTCTCAACGAATCAAACGCGGGCAGCCGTCACCCACCGCGTCTCAGCTTTCGGCAGCTCACCGCAGCTTAAACGTGAAGCAGCTGAAAGAACCCGGTAATGAGTCCCGCCTCCCTCCAGCGCGCGCCCCTCCAGCGAGAGCGGCGCGCGTCCCTCCAGCGAGAGCGGCGCGCGTCCCTCCAGAGAACAACGTGTGCTCCCGCGGGGCTAGCAGCCTTCACTCCAACAGCACGGTGTAAATGAAGTCACGCCCTCCGCCTTTTCAACGTTCGCACAGCGACGTCAAACGCGCAGCCCCACCGCGTCATTAGCTGTCACACGCCTCGCCTCAGCTCAAGTCTCGCCCGGGATCACACAGAAAACATTCCCGCGACGCATGACGGCGGTTGAGGGGCGGACTGCTGACAGCCGTACAATACATGACACATCACTTAACGCACGTTCACCCTACGAACGTTACGTAGAGTGGCTAAAACATGCTCGCCGTTTTTCAGATGGATGGACAAGGTTTTATGCAAATGGTACAAGTTACAGTTTGCAACCCAAACCCCTCCATTCAGAGGAGTTATAAAAACGGTCCCGTCATCATCAGACTAAATCTCATCCCTAAATGCAGAAACCCAAGTGTTTCTGATAAAAGTAATCTACAGAGTCCCCCAACGGAGAGAAAACACAGGGTTTTTACTCACGGATCGGAGGGGTGAGACCGTTTTTTGGATCTGTTGTATAACATCCAGAGAACGCATACCGATCATCCTAACACAGAGACGAGAGTTTTTGTTTTACCTGGATGATCTGCTGCTCCTGTCACTTCAGACAGGAGGCGCTGATGCACGATCAGGTGTTGACATCACACCTGTTAAATCTGGGCTTCGCCATAAATTGGAAGGAAGCTCGATTTTCCCGGCCCAGACATTTGTTTTCTGGGAGTGGAATTAAATTCAACCACCATGAAAGCTCGTTTAGCACAAACTAGATTCGACACTTTTTTAAAGTCAACTCAGCCACGTAAGACCTGGCAAGTGATAACAGCTGTCTCCGTCATGAAGCTGTTGGAAATGATGTCACTCACACAGTGGTTCCGCTGGTTTGTTTCACATGAGACGCCTCCAGAGGTGGTTCTGCACGTCTGCATGTGGATCCAGTAAAACAAAACGACGGATGATCATTGTCCCTTCCTCTGTGGAAGCAGACCTCCGACTCTGGGGAAACACCTTGTTTTCTGTCAGAGGGAGTCCCCCTCAGCAGACCCACGTCACGGGTCAGCCTTCATGGACACGTTGCTGTCAGGCTGGGGGGGGGGGGGGGGGGACATGCCTATCTCAAGCAGTAGGGGCGCTGTGGCCCCACTACACATCAGCCCACATCAATGTTTTGGAGTGTCGCACAGCACTGAATATGATTCAACACTTTGCTCCCGTGCTACAGAATCAACACGTGTTGATTCACACAGATAACATGGTGACTGCTGCGTACATAACCATCAAGGGTGTGCGTTCAGCCCAGATGTTACACATTGCGCGAAAGCTACTGTGTTGGGCTCATCAAAACCTGCTCTCTATTAGAGCGGTTTTACATATCCGGTGTTCTGAACAGAGGGGCAGATGTGACGTCCAGGGGCGGCCCACGTCTCGTGGACCGGACCCTCCATCCAGATCTGATGTTTTCAGACGTAGCAGAAGTTGGCAAAGCAGCTGTGGACCTGTTTGCGACGCGAGAAGAACGCTCAGTGTCAACTATGGTTTTCCCTGAGCCCGCGAGACGATCCATCGCTGGGGGGGGGACGCATTTGCTCACAGCCCGTGGCCCAAAACGCTTTTGTACACGTTTTTTCCCCCACCTCCTCTGTTTTTTACGGTTCCTGAACCGAGTTCAGGAGGAGGGATTGACAGCTCTCCTGGTGGCTCCCGGCGTGTGAACGCACCATGGTTCCCAGGCCTGCAACGTCTGTTGTCGGGTCGCCGTGGAACTGCCGTGGAGGGAGGATGCTCTCCTTCAGGCAGGAGGAGCGACCAAGAGTTACCCAGAAATAGGTCAACACCTGTGGATCTGACCGCTGAGCGGTCCCACTTAGAGGATGGGTCTCCCTCAGGAGATAGTGTGCACAATTCAAGATTCACGTGCTGCATCTACCACAGTTCTGTACACATCAAAGGGGACGGCTTTTCAGCGCTGGTGTACAGAGAAGGTTTAGAGGCCACCTCATGCCTTTTAGGCGGCGTGTTGTTTTTCTACAACAGCTGATGGATAGGGAGTTGGCATTCAGTACGCTTTAACGTACGTTGCAGTCATCTATTCCTGCCACGAAGGTTTCGGAGACAGAACAGCTTTTATTCACCCGCTGATGAAGCGTTTTTCTAAAAGATGTTCAGAGACACAGGCCTGCTTCACGTCCACTTGCTCCACAGTGGGATTTAACGCTGGTCCTGCGAGCCCTGATCAAAGCTCCAATTGAGCCTCTGGATCAGGTTTTCACTTAAAATTCTTGTCTCTTTAAACAGCCCTGCTGCTAGTTTTAACACCCGCTAAGAGGGTAAGTAATTATCTGCCCTCTCTGTTGCTTCGTCATGCCTTAGAATTTAGGCTGACGGGCAGCTCAGCTGATTTAAGACCAACCCAGCTTTTATGCCTAAAACATCACGAGCTCTTTTAAATCAAGAGTGATATCGTTGGAGGGGTCTCTTTCCCCCCCCCACAGATCAGAAGAGGAAGCATCTTTTCATCTTCTCTGCCCGGTGCGGGCGTTGACGTGTTACATAACGCGCACAGCTGCAATGCGTTTCAAACTCAACAATTGTTTGTGCATTATAGAGATGCTTCTGCAGGTCGCCGTTATCCATCCAGCGCTTGTCACTCTGGCTGTGTGAGGCCTTTTCTGAAGCCTACAGAGCATCAGATCTAGAGCCTCCTGTCAACCTCTAAGCACACTCCACCAGGGGTATCGCATCTTCGACTGCTCTGCATAATGGTATGTCAATGCAGGACATTTGCATTGCGGCTGCATGGTCAACACCCTGCTCATTTATTCGCTTTTACCTACGTGATGTAACGGCTCGTTCCATGACACATTCTGTCCTTAGTGCTCTAACAGAATGAATATTATTGTTCTCATGGAACTCTGTTCAAGCTCACTTCTGTCTGCATGCATTACAGTGTGAGATGTTGTTTTCAGTCACAAGTCGTGTCTGTGATTTTGGTTCTATTGTCACTAATCAGTTCATGATTATTGTTACCAATCAGTTCAATTGATTAATAATCAATTTATGGACATTAATCTGTTTATACTGTTCAGCCATGAACCAGTTGGTTCATGCCCCCCCCCCCCCCCCTCTTTTCAACTTCTTCTTCCCGTTGAAAGTTTTCCGGGGCATTCATGCTTTGTCAGAACGCATAGTTACTCAACATGCATCTGTGCATGGCACATAATTACGCGATGCGTAGTTATGCACACGGGGAGCTGAGTGACAAGACGTTTTTTGGGCAAGCTTCCGCTTCTTACTGTGTTCGAATGGACCCAGTGAGGCGAGGACCACATCCGCTTCGCCCTTAACCCATCAGCGACAGCCTTAAAGGGCGAAGCCTATATGAAATAGAACGTTGGTTACGCACTGTAACCCCAGATTCTATGAATATAGGCGTAGCCCTTTAAGCGTCGGGCCTCACTGGCTCCTAAATGGCTGAAGAAAAAAGCTATTTTGGGAGCCGATTTCCCGCTCTTAACGTAATTTATACGGACCGGGTGGGGCCCACACAGCAGGTGGGCGTGGACTAAATTTTTTCAGTGCTTATGCTCTGCATAACGGGATAAACCCATCAGCGACAGCCTTAAAGGGCTACGCCTATATTCATAGAATCTGGGGTTACAGTACGTAACCAACGTTTTGCAGGCTGGTGAACCTCTGACCTTTTTTTACTTCTTAAAGATTTAGCCTCTCTAAAATGCACTTTTATACCCAGTCTTCTTACTGACCTGTTGCCAATTAATCTAAAAAGTTTCTAAATGTCCCACCAGGTGTGTAACATTCATGCCACTTACTTTAACAGTATTCAGCTGCCCCTGCCCTGTCATTTTGTAGATTTATTGCTGCCATAAAATTTTAAAATCACCCTATATTTTTCTTATAAATTGCACAAATCTTTATTTAAACATTGAATTTGTTTACTCCAGGTGAATTAAACATGGGTTTATGACATTTGCAAATCTTTGCATTCTTTTATTTTAATTCACATTTTTCACAACATCCCAGCATTTTTTTTTATTTGGGTTGTATTTTCTACAGCAGATTTGAGTTAAAATAATACACCAAGCTCTCCACTCCAGCCCAGTGCTGTCTGACTCACCAGTCAGATTGACGAGCATCCATCCTTCCTCGTCGGCCTCCGTCACACATGGATTGGGTCCTTTCAGCTCAGCTGACACCTCCTCCACCTCCCCGAACAACAAGTTGCTAAGACGCTGAAACATTGCTGCTTGTATTCTCAAGTTTTGACGACAGTGGTGTTAAACTGTCCTCAAGAACAAAAATATATAGCTGCCGTTTTGATGTTTTTAATGTATTCGTTTAATGCTGCTCTGTGCCTGATTTTCTTGTTTCCACTTAAAGCCCAGTGTTTGATCTTGGATTTGACGAACAAGTCTTAACAGGCTTCTGTAGTGCAAATGTAAGGTTTCACTTGGTTTGGAACAAAGGCCTGAAGAGAGAGAGAGAGAGAAAGGATTATGAGTCATGATAAAAACAAAACATTTGCCACTGAAAATAGACAGTAATTTCCAACAGTTTGGCTATTTGATAAAATTGTATTTAGTGAGAGTTTTCATTCAACCTTTATTTAGACAGGTTAATCCCATTGAGCCTCAGGGACTCATTTACAAGAGAGACCTGATTTTAACAAAGAGTGATGAGAACAGTGAAAACAAGGACAACAATAGACAGTCATAAAATGGGTATAGGCATACATATTTGTTTCTCTTTTTTTTTTTTTTACAAATCAAAACAAAATAGCAACCAAAAGGACAATCAAGAGGAATAGTAGCAAAAAACAGCTAGATTGTAAGGCGATTTAGACAACTAAAAACAGGAACATGTCTGCACTGGTTTTTGCCAGGAACTTAACAGAGTTTTAAAGTCACTTAGAGAGGTCAAGGACGAGCGCTTCAAATCTTTTTGCAAGATATTCCAGGAAACAGGAGCGGAGTAGGAGAAGACCCTTTTGCCTAGTTCAGTCCTCACTGAGGGAACACTGCATGTGATAATGTCCTGAGAGCGCACGCTGTAGCTGCACTTACACAGAGACATGTAGGAGGAGATGTATGAAGGCAACAGACCAAGAAGGGATTTAAAGATGACTATGTACCAATGGGAGAGTCTGTGTGAAGTTAATGATGTCCAGTCAACCAGTGAATACAGGGTGCAATGATGGGTACGGTAGTTACAGCCATTTAGCCAGTCTTAATGCTCCATGATTGGCAGCATCCAGCATCTGCAGAGTGCTTTTAGGAGCGTTCATATAGATAATGTCACCGTAATCAATGGAGGGAAGGAAAGTCACAGTTGCAAGGCGTTTCCTAGCATTCATAGTTAGACAGGATCTATTTCTGAAAAAGAAACCCAATTTAAATTTCAGTTTCCTTACTAGGTTTTCCACGTGAAGCTTAAAAGAGAGATGCGAGTGGACCAAGATACCCAAATATTTATAGGAATCGACAAACTCAATAGGGACACCATTTGATGATAAAATCGATAAAATCAGAGGAAGAATTGATGGGACTGATTCCTGTTTGGAAAAAAAGCATCCTATTAGTTTTTTCGGCATTTAGGACAAATTTGAGACTAAACAAATCTGACTGGATGATGTCAAAGGCAGATTGCAAAACTGAAAAGCCTTAGAAAATGTTTTAGCTCGATAATAAACAACTGTGTCATCAGCATAGAAATGTAAGGATGTGTCAAGAATGCTCTGGCCTACATTGCCTATAGATTGTAGATTGTAAAGAGTGTGGGTCCTAAGACTGAGCCTTGTGCTACACCATTACTGACTGTTAGATAACTGGAGGATATACCATTATGTTGAACACATTGCCTCCAATCTGAAAAATAATTAGAGAACCAACCAATGGTATGATCTGAGAAACCAATTTCTGAGAGCTTATGACACAAGATGTTATGATCCACAGTGTCAAAAGTTTTAGACAGGTCTAAGAAAAGTGCAGCACAATAATCCTTAGCATCCAATGCTTCAATGATGACGTTAAAAACCTTCAGCGAAGCAGTGGTTGTGCTGTGTTGATTCCTGAAACTGGATTGGTGGGGAGGTAAGATGTTAAATGAGCCCAAATACTTTTTGATTTGAGAGTTTATCAGTTTTTCTAGAACCTTGGTTAAAATGCAGAGTTTAGAGATTGGTCGATAGTTGTTCAGTGAGGTGGGGTCACCTCCCTTCAGCAAAGGAAGAACAAAGGCTGTTTTCCAAGCGTTTGGAATGGAGTTTTGACTTATGGACAGGTTAAAGATGTGGGTCATATAGGAACTGCAATGATATGAGTAGCCAGCCTTAAGAAATAAGGTGGAAGTTCATCTGGACCTGCAGATTCTTTTAGGGTCTAGACCTGGTTTCATTAAACATGCCACACAATTTTAAAATGATTAGATTAAAAAAAAAACAAAAAAAAAACTTTTGCCTTTAACAAAAGTGTTTCAGCAGAAAACTACTTTATAAAGCTGACATACACCTCTTTTTTCAGTTTAAATTTCTTAACAGCTGATGAATTTATACTTAAAGAGGCTAAATCTTCAGCTGATATTTAAAAAAAAAAGTGAAATTGAGATTCCTGATTTTTGATTTAAATATTAAGAAAAACATATTGGCCCGTCTCATATTCATTTCATGCATAAAATAGCATAAATAACTTACAGTATGTGCATGAAGTAACTGATTGTACACAACTTTCAGTCCAGCTAAAGTTTGAATCATAAGATTTCAGCTGCACGCTATAAACTAATATGGCTTTGATATAAGGATGGCCTGTGATGTAAAACACATTAACAGAGGAGCAATGAATGGAATTATTTCCCATTAATATAAAAATAGAATGATTTGTGAAAAATAACTCAATCAACCACGAGAGCTGGTTATACAAAGACATCTCCCTTCCCCCAGTAAATTCAGATAACCAATCAACACAGTCTCAAGACAGATGGACAGACCAGAGAAGAGGAGGAGGGGTGAGAGAAGGTCACAAAAAGACAATAAGAAGAGTGTGTTTTAACTTGCAAAGAAAATCAGTGTTAACTCTGTGGCAGCAGCTGCTAATGCAAAGGACATGGTTTGATCAGTTGAGCAGGATAACATCTAAATGTTCAAAAGGCCAAGTTTTTTGTTCCTAGCCCGAGGAGAAACATCACTCCCAATACGTCTACAAATACTTGATCCACTATAAATAATTCAATTGTGCCTGTTTTTTCCAGTTGTGTAATACGTTCTTTACACTATACTTATTTTTCCTGATGCAGTTTAAACACTATGGACTGCCCTCATCTTCAGCTTACACTGGAGCAGATTTAACTAACAGATTTTATGGAAAGAAATAAATTGATGAGAAAGTTGATTGTGAAATCATGACAGAGCCGTTGTTCTGTAATCAGGCTTGTGCAAGATACTGAACGTGATCCTTAACACTGATTAATGCATTCCTGATAAAACAAAATGAAGTAATGAGACTGAAATGACTTCAACTAAGTGTTTTTTCCTCTTAGAATGACCTTTAGACCTTACTCAATTGCATGTTCAGTACTCCCTTGATAAAACTTTTTTTTTTTAAATCAGCTTGGAGATAACCTCAACTCCAGCAATACTTACTGGTGTAAATATAGTTAATGATACTGGCCTGAGTGGAGAAAAGATGCTGCTGTGACTTATTACACATTATTAAATGTTCTTTTGCATATTTCACAGGCTGAAATATTTAGTGAGTTTTTTGGAACTTGAGATGATGTTTTCATGATAAAATCTGACAAACTTGCTCACTGTTCTGCAGTTCTCTCTTTCTACAACCCTCATCCATTTTTATCATAGGCAGGCAACAACAGGCAGATAAAGACATCAAGTGTTGTACTGTCAAAGGACATTAATTTAATCACACCTGTTGAATTATTAAAACTTGAAATGCAGGAACATATAGAACATACACTGCAGCAAGGATCATTAATATTATTATTGTTATTAAATAAAGGTTGAATGAATGCCGAATCAGCATTCACAGTTATTTTCCTGTTTTGTTTTTTTTAAAGCTAACTACTTATGCATACTTTTTTCCTATTTAGCCTTTCATATATCAAAACCTTAAGCTCATTTAAGAGGTGGATACTGATGTTTGGTTTTTGTAAATTTTATACTTTTATAAATTTTAAACTTGAATTACAAGGTTTTTCTTAAAAAAATACATTAAGATGTCTTAAATTAATTGAAAAACATATATGTCTTGGAAGCTAAATGCTACTTTTATCTTTTAGCAAGGCTTTTGCTGCTTTTAGCTAGTGCTTTTCTACTTTTACCTTGATAGCACCTTGTTACTTTTACTAGCATTATGCTACTTTTACCTTTTAAATAGCTTTTTTGCTACCTTTAGCTTTTATCTAGCTCGTTCCTACTTTTAGATTTTATCTAATCTTTTGCTGCATATAACTAGCACTTTACTACTTTTTGCTAACATTTTGTTACTTTTAGCTTTAAGTTAATCGTTTGGTCCTTTAGCTGTTAGCTAATGTTTGCTTCATTTAGCTTTAAGAACTATTTTTCAGCTTTAGCAAATTTAAGTTAAGTCATTAAGCACTCACTATGCACACTTCATTATTATTATTATTATTATTATTATTATTATTATTACTATTATTATTAAAGAACAACATGGTCTACTTTGCCTTTTTGTTCATAATAACGAATAAAAATTGATAACGTATAATTTTTGAATATGTATTATAAGTGAGAGTTCTTCCGGTGTAAAACGGGAGGAGAGGCGGGTTGTGGGCGGAGCTATAAAAATCCAGTGATGTCATCTGACGTCACGTCATGGTAGCAGACAGAGCGGCTTCCGTCTGTTTTGCGACCGGAGGGAAGAAAATGAAGGACCTAGCAGTTAATACGACAAAACACCAGCTGTTTGCAGCTGTGTAGTTAAAACCCACGACGCTGTTCGTGTTATAATTGGCATTTTACGGCTCAAATCCATCACCGAGTTAAGGCTTGCTGCTGTCGAGCGCTTCCCTTATGTAAAAAAAAAAAAAAAAAAAACATAAAAGAAAAAACAGCAATGTACATATGAGATCATAAAGGCGTTCCTAATGTTTTATATAAGAACAAAACTGTGTTTTATGCCGCGGACAGCCGGGAGAGGACGGCTGTCTGTAGATTAAACAGGTTAAAGATGAATTATCCGTATAAGCTGAGCAGCTGAAGGGTCACAGCAATGACAGCTGAACCTCACACTCTGGATGAGCTTGTGCTCACACAATAAAGGGCTCGGGACATTTTTATTTTCTCCAAGAAAACATCCTCCCTACAAACACCAACACTGACACATCAGCATTTTGGTGCACAAACAGCGGCGTCGCATTACAGCCACCCCGGTGTCATTGTTCCCCCCCAGGACCCTTGTACGTCGAATATCAGGCTTTTTGGTTTTGGGCCGCGATGCTGCTTGCAAACATATCCCTAATAATAGATCATCACTGGTTATGACACACAGCCCCTTAATGTGGGTCACCGGCAGACAAAGCAATGTAATCCCTCCAGAACTTCATGTCCTCCTGTTTTATTCCAGCAGACAGGCTGCCTGATGGATGTTTTACATGGAGAAACGCTCCAGAAGCAAAGCGGAAGGAACAACTGTGGAGCACAAAGACAATAAACCATTCAGGGATAGACCTCTGTTATGAAATCCAGACTTACCTGCCTTTGATGGATTATTCAAGTTGTAAACGAGATCAGTAGAAACTCTTAAAGCATAGCTTAAGGTAGCCTTTATGTGAGGTAGCTAAAACACTATTATACAAAAATAAAAGGCTTTCTTCGTAGAAGAAGGGCTTCGTGTAAACAAAAAAAATTACACTGCTTAATTATATATATATATATTTCAGATCATAACATCTGCAGCTTTCGCCTCTTGTCCTCTATTTTTCTTTCCGCTGCAGAAATTCCTGTTTATTGCTGCCTCCAGCTGATCCGCAGATCAGAATGTAGAGCGTACAAAACAGCTGATCGTGAGATCACAGCGCCATGAAGCCCCGCCCATCTCCCCGCCCACTCCGTCCTGAACCAGCCAATGGGAATATTACAGCCAGCAACAAACCCCGAATCCTCTTGGTAACAGGGTGAGCGGGGTGGGGGTGAGCGGGACGGGCTGTCAGCCGGAACCCAAAGGGAACCGGTCCCTGATCAGCTTCCAGGTTCCGGTTGTTAGAAAACTGGGCTGGGGGGTGAGGTACGCTGACCCCGGGTCTGCTCTGCTGAAGGACGATGATCTGTCGTCATTAACATGCCAACCTGATGTTTAATAAATGAATTAAACTTTAGAAGAAAGAGCAAAAGTTGCTGCAACAGAACCATCATTCCAAACAACGTGACACTTTTATTTAGAAATGCATAAGTTATATGATTACTGCTCGTGTAATAGATCCTGCAGCCTCAATCAATCAAAAAATAAATAAACAGACACATAATTCTGCTTCTTCCGTGATGATGGTGATGTTTAAACTTTTTATGTAAATACAGCCCACTCCCCTCCCCCTTGACATCACTGTTTTAAGCCCAGCCTGAATGGGGAGGACCTAAATGTTCCTTTCAGCCTTTGCAGCCAGTCATGATGACTTTTTTTATGAATGCAGTATTTTAGGAACCAATGAGCTCTCTGTTTGGGTTTAACAATCCCTGGTGGCTCCTGAGAGTTTCCACAGCCTTTTTATTTATGACAGATTATGCAAAGCGGTGAGGGCTCAGAGAGCTGAGTGATTCTCAAGGTGCTCTGCAATTTTGTATTATTCTGTGTGAAAATACAAACAGGATTTTACACCAGTCTCCACAGTGTTCACAGCTTGTGACCTGTGTTGCACTGTTTTCAACGTATCAGGCCAACGAGACGTTTCAGGGACTTCACCCTTATTTGAATGTTACAACAGGAATCAAAAAGAGGCCTTCAGCGAAGCCTGTCTAAACAGGATGGTACCAAACAAACACATAAAATGTGGGCTTGAATCTCATCTTGCATGCACTATGTGTATGAGCCACCAACCATTAGTGTCCACAGCTGAAGGTGAAAGGCAGGTGAAGATCATCACTCATGTTCGTGCTGCTGTTCAGCGTATTGTTTTTGTACTACTAATGCTAAATGTATTTTTAGTTAAAGTTTTTCTTAATTCATATCTTATATCTTATTACTGTTTTTCTTTTACATTTTATACTTTTGTTGGATGTAACTGGGACCCTGTGTACACAGTTTCGTTCCACCACATGTACCACATGTGGTGCGTATGACAAATTAAGAACCTTGACTCCTTGAACATTGATTCCTTGACTTGAAAGATGTTTTTGCTCATGTTTGCATGCATGGATGGATTTTTAATGAGACATTCAAAGAGTATTCATTTAATTTACATACAATTAATCAACTTTAGCCAACACAAAATACCCATCACTCTACAGGTATTACGTTAAGATTTGATGTAGCTGAGAGTCACTCACAACACATACTCTGAGGGTAGCATGAGATTTCATATAACCTTATTCTTTATGTTTGACCAGAATGGCTATAATTCGATCATTTGTCAAAATAAAATGATCACAGACTGAAACTCTGGCATGAACGGCAGTGGGCAAAGTGCATTACTGTATTTCCATCAATGCAAGGTCTTCAATTTAGTTGTCAAGGTCAAGGTCAAGGTGTGTTTATTGTCATTCACATGGTGCATGAGGTGGAACGAAACCATGTAAACAGGGTCCCAGTTACATCCAACAAAAATACAAAGAAAAACAGTTGTAAGATCTAAGATATGAACTAAGAAATATGCTAAACTAAGAATACACTAAGCACTAATGGTACAAAACAATACGCCAAACAGCAGCACGAACATGAGTCTGTGTGAGCAGATGAGGACGAATGAACACAGCAACATGAAATAAATCAGCAGCATGGATAATCAGCAGCACATAACATCAAGTGGCATTACAGTGATTTTTTTCACAGTAATTTTCACAGTGATAATCCTGATTAGGGATTCATGAGTCTAACAGCTTCAGGGTAGAAGCTGTTCCTCAGCCTAGTGGTTCTGCACTTAATACTCCTCAACCTTCTGCCTGAGGGGAGCGGGGCAAAAAGTGTGTGTGCTGGGTGAGTGGGGTCCTTCATGATGCAGGTGGCCCTCTTCCTGCATCTAGAGGTGAAGGTCTGTGATGGTGGGGAGGCTGACTCCAACAGACTTCTGTGCAGCCTTCACCACTCTCTGCAAAGCTTTTTTTTTATTGTCAATGAAGCCTGACATATGCATAATGTTGTTTGGGTTGCATCCCTCTAATTTATCCTTTGGAAAGCTGATTCGTATTGGGAACAAAAGAAAAGCTGAGGAATGGTGCAGCATCTCTGGCGTCAGGTCTTTGCAGAATTATTTCTTAAAGAAGTCAGTTCAACACACCCCATCAGCTAAACATGTATTTTCTACTCTTATAGCTGAACAGGAAAGCAGTGTTTTGCTCGGTATTGCAAGAATGTGGCTGATGAAGCCAACTGGAGGCCTGAACACAAACCTGACAACAGGTGAACCGCACCTGTCTAAACTCCTGCTCTATATGTCAGATTTCTTAGTAAGCTTGTTCCCCTGAAGGCAGGACCTGATACAAGAGATCGTGAGTTTTCTGACGTCTGTAAGGTTTTGGCTTAATCATATGCCTAGCAACTCAGTTATGCACGTGCACACATAAACACAAACACACTCATGATGCAGTGATGATCTTATCCAGGCTCCAGAGCAACCATGAACTCAAATGAACTCATGAACTTTATGCTGCTGTTAATGTTTGTGCTCTAGAGCTTCAGGAGTTATCACAGACTTGTGTCGCACTTGTTCCATCATGTACTTGCTGTCGTGCAGGTACATTTTAATAGCTATCATTTAAAACAGATGCAAGCCAAGGCATTAGTATTTATCCTGCAGTTTAAATCCTAGCATTTCTTAAGGAATGAACATCACCCACCTCAATACGGTTTTGTATCTAAAGGATAGATGAAGTAGAGATGATGTTTTTTTTTTTTTATTGTTGGACTTTTTTCTTCCTTACTTTAATCCAACTTGGAGTTTTCACTGAGTCTGATGGACAATTTCCACAGCTTTCTAAGCTGGTTGGTGAACTGGGAGGTGGGTCGCAGCAGTATTTTCCACTGGCTACTTTAAATTTATTCACAATCATAGATGTGTCATGCAGTTCCTGTTTAACCAGCCTTAAACAACAAACAAAACCAACCCAGAAATAAAGCCAATAAAAGTGTCTGTGGGGAAATATAGCATAGTTCAGAGTAGTGCTAATGCTTAAAACAGACAATATGGCACCTTGTTGAAGGGGAGCAAACAGCTCTTGAAGGAAAATGTTGGTTTTAGTGTTTATGGTAAGTAAACAGGTCCTCAAAATAATATAAATATATATATGATGTTGTTTTCATGTGGTCTGTCAGCTGTATTTTTGTTGCCTCTTTCTATTTTCAGGCCTCCTCGCTCCTGTGTTGTGTGTCTGCTGGTTGGAGATAAGACAGTAGATCCAAGGTGCACCTTGTGTTAAAAATACAGTGCGACTGCTGAAATTAGCTAAAGAAGCTCAAACCGACTTTTTAAAAACTTGGATAAGAAAAACCCGGACCCAAAGCTAAAAGGAGAAAAGTAATAGCTAAAAATTTTAACTAGATAAAACATTAAGTAGCAAAGCATGAGCTAAAATCTAAAAGTAGCAAAATGCTAAATTAAAGCTAAAAGCATCAAAACCTAAAAGTATCAAAAAATAGCAAGAAGCTAAATGTGGCAAAACAATAGCTAAAAGTAGCAAAAGGCTAACAAAAAGCAAAAAGCAGCAGTATGATAAGCTAAAAGTCGCATAAGAACAGACAAATAGAAGAAGCCGATTTCAAAGAGAACAATGTTCTTGAATGGACTGAAGAGATCTAGATGAATCTTTATAGCGAGTTTATTTTTAAATACAATTAAACATTTTAAAAAGTATAAAACGTTCAATAACCAAACGTAGCATCCCCATCTACTAAATGAGTTGAATGTCATATTTGGCTAAAGAACACAAGTTCTGCAGCAGTTGTTCGATTGTAAAATACGTACGAAACAGGAAAACAACAGTATAAGTGCTGAATCAGCACAAATTCAAACCTGACGGTCAAAAATATTTGAAACGTCAGACCAAAATCTGGATTGTTTCATTTGTCCTCTGTAATGTCTGGAGATGTGTGGCCCTGGACCTGTGTCTCATGTTGCAAACAGCTTGTCTATACTTGCAACACTACAGTTCCCAGATAACCCCGGTCACACAACGCTCTGCTGCTCCTCATTACTCAGAGCAGACAGCAGGATGGAGCATGAGAGCAGACTGCCTGCTCCTCAGTATCTCCAGACCACAAGCCTCTTCCTTTGCCTCCTCAACTTCAGTCCCCCTTTGTCTACTTCTAAAGGGTCTGTCTGTCTGTCTGTCTGTCTGTCTGTCTGTGTGTCTGTCCCTACAAGGCCGAGCAGACAGGGTCTGGACTGGGGGGGCAGTGTCCTTGGCAGTGTGCACACTGATAAACACTTCATGTATGAGGACAGCCTGTGCTCACCAGAGGGGCACAAAACTCCCCCCTGGAGGAGATTATGAAACTCAACAAGGAGTGAGGCTATTTTAAATTCCCCAGAGGATTAAGGCACCTTGGATGGAGAGAAGTAGGCCTAAATTTCAAGCTGAGGACATCAAATAATAAATACACCCCTCTTTTTTATATTTATTTTTTTTTCAGACAGGCAATCCTTTGCGTTTCAGATTAGCGTGGGAAAAGGAGAAGCCCTTCGGTCTGGCAGATGTGTCCACTGACTGAAGCAAAACACGACTAAAAATAGAACAAAGGACTGAGAAAAGAGCAGAGCCAAAACACAAGTGATTCTCTGAGATACAGTTTAGTCACTAATAGAACAGAAATTAATTATTTTTAGTT